TTAATTATACCGAAGAAAAGCAACCTCTTACACATATTTCCGTGCAGAAGAACCCTCCAAATGACTTTCATCACCTGCTTTTCCGTCGGTATCTGATTAGCAAAGTCCTTATCCTCCAATTTACGTTCATTTGGGGGACACGTGGCTCGATGGAAATATATTTTTATTTATTTATTTTAGCAATTAGCATTGCTTTATTTTCAATCGAGTTATGCGGACCATCAGGCCAGAAACAGAAGATTAAATGAAGTCATAGCAACATTGTACTTGAAGCCGGTACCTTGCGTTGAACATTGAGAATTGGATTCATTTGGATATTATTGTCTAGATCCTAAGGATCAACATATCTGAGCTACACAAAGTGAATCCGACGGTCTCCATTAACTCATTTCGCTGGTACACCACACAAATCAACAATTCCGATTTCTTTTACACACTAATCATCAGCTCAAATGTGTTGATCATTAAGCTCTGGACATTAAAGTTCGGAGCTGATCCAATTCCACAACGTTGTACGTGAACTTTCCACAGGGAAAAGTCAGTCTACAGTTTTGGACACTAGGGTCCAGAGCCGATCGAATTCCACAACATTGTACATGAACTTTCCACAGGGAAAAGTCAGTCTACAGTGATCAATTTAGTATACGTGTAGCTTTTTATTTTCTAATTTGATTGCCAAGATAGATATTTAGTGATGTAGAGTTGTTTGTCACGTGATTAAGTTTATTGCTGAATAACTGAACAATTCAATTGAAGACATGTTTAAAGTTTATGATGTGTTTTCATACTTATAACTTGAACTAATTATTCGGTCACTCGAAATCTTTTGTGTCCTTTGAGAACTGCATACATATTTTGCATGATTTTCATCCCTTGAGACCCGTATGCATGCATCATGCTTAGTTTTTTATTGAATGATATATTATGCAAGAAGGTTTTCAAATCAGAGACCATATTAAACGGGAAAGGATCCTCTCCCGACCCCTTCCAGCCGGATCCTCAGGATTCAGAAGATTGCCTGCAAGGCTTGCCTCCAGCAGAGCCGGGAAGCAATCGCAGCTTCTTCTCCTTCCTCAAACGGGGTCGCGAAGCCACAGTCGCAAACTTGCCTTGAAATAGCTAGGACCGCGAAGCCATCGATCCCGACTACGATTTCGATGACGCCATCGTCTCCTCCACATCCGTGCCCCTCTCTCAACCCTCCCACCATCAAAACCATCGCCGCTGCTGTCATCACAGTTTCTCCTCATTCCAATGGCGTCAAGGTCGGCCGAATGTTTTCTTGCCGTTCGATTTTCTTTTGAACGGATAGGATTGAAGGATCCTCTGGATCTGGATGGAAGGGATCCGGAGAGGATCTTCCTATATTAAACAGCATCTTTGCTTTGCCACTCAAAACCGTAGCTAGCAAAACATATATGGTTCAATATTATTATGCAAAAAATGTATATCAAAGTCGTACTGGTCCATGGTTTTTGGTTCCACAGGGCCCGACTACGTACGTCTGCGTCCCACCAAATGGAAACCTTTACGACCAAATAAGAAGAGATTCTTAACGTGGAAATGCAAAAGCAGACAATACTGGGAGAAAAGAAAGGTGGAGAGCAAAGATGCCGTGAGAATAATTGGTTCTGCTGCTGTTGCTCAAGATATGAAGCCCTATATGACCTCCAATTTTATTGGCACCAATGCTTTTTTCCACATCACTAGGAAGATGATTCTCAGAAGTAGGCACGGGTCTTGTCCCAATTACGTAAAGAACAACTTTTACGGCACGGGTGCACTAGTATCGCGACGTCTTGTATCAATAATACAATTACATGTGTAAGTTTTTCTCTAATAACATTACATCATTGACACGAAATATGAGAATAATAATGTATTTGTACCATGTAAGTTGCTCACAAAGAAACTTTTTACCCTAAATTGCAAACTATTTTACCAGGAAATCAGAAATGTTTTCGGTGTGGTTCCTGTGGCACGGTAGAAATAATGGAAGTCCCCACATGTAACTATTTTGCAGAGTTGATATGGATTAGACAACCCACTTACTAAGTGGGATGAGCATTTCATGAGTATTCCTTCTCACCACCTCTCCCTAGCAACCTCCACTTTTTCGAAGGGTTCTTGGAGCATTTCATCAAGTTGAAACTAGTAATTTTCAAACGCCAAATTTATTCGTCCAATGATGTTTTTGATCGATTCGAATTTGAGATATTGAAACTTGTAATTAGTGTTCCATAATTCAAAAATAAAATGATCTTTTCAAAACCTTATTTATATCAAATAAATAATATACTGATCACGTATACTGACACATTATTTAATGAACAAATCTTATAACTCTAACATTATTGTGATTCAAATTTGTGCAAAACTAATAGAATTTCAACTTAACCATTCGTTATAATAATTCCTTGCGGTTGCCAGGTTGTAAACTCATGTTCCAATAAAGGACAGTGACCCTCTTCCTGGGAATTGGATCCCCACCTAAGCAAATGTTGGGGATCCTCATGATCCACTACCACAGGCCGTTAGATTTTGATCCAACGGTTATAAACAGGAGGTCCCTCTAAAAATTATAATAATTGTAGCCCTTTGATCAAAATTCAACAGCCCGTGTTAGTGGATCATGAGAATTCCCACCATTTGCTCAAGAGGGGATCCAATGGACGTGTGAAAGAGAAAGATGTTGCAAAATCCAAATTGGGGTCCTCTCATATCCTGAAGTTGACTTTGTATTGGGAACTTGATTTTATTGAGAATTTTACACAAACACTATATACACATTATAGTATAGTTTTCAACTTTTCAAATATTAATGGCTCGTTTAAAAGTATTTTTAAATAACTAAAATCACTTTTAGAGAAAATGTTTTCAGGATTTACTTGCATTTTTACTAATAATTCGTTCCAAAAATATTTTTACTAAAAACGCTTTCAGCCATTTTAAAAATATTTGATGGGTCACAGAGGTGAATGAGAGACACAAATTAGCCTAATGCAGGTAGCACACTTTGTGGTGGGAAAGTGTTCAAAGTAAAGCATTATATTTTTCTATTTGGAAAAGTCATAAGCTCATGAATGTTTCCAACTATTAGGGTACAAAAATTGAAGCACACAAGACAATGGCATGCACCTAACCCTAGCTAGTTAAGTGGTGAAGGGATTTTGGCATGTGAAGTCGTCACAAGTGCAAAGAAAGTTGTACACTACAACATGGCTAGCTACATTGAAAGATTTTGCGTGTGAACAAACCTTTTTGTTATCTTGTAACAATCTAAATCTACCAAAAAATGGTGGAGAGAGAGAGAGAGAGAGACCACAAAAGAACCCGCTAAAGAGATAGAAAATGGAAGATTTGTTTAGGCTTTTAGTTCATGGAACTTCTCTTTCTCTCTATAGTGGGATGGTGATTGTGAAAAAGATGGTTTTGAGGTCCCAACTTTGCAGCAGCAGCATTTACAACAAAACCTACACAAAGTAGGAAAAAGACCCACGAGTGAAGCCTTATGTTTCATTTGCATGTGAAACCCACTAATATACACTAAACGTGTGTGTGTATATACACACACATAAATATATATATATATATATATATATATTGTGACTGTGTATATATGTGTACATTTACATAAAATGGGTTGTCCCTTATTTCCCTCCCTCAAAAGTCGTTTCATTTATTTCCTCCAATCTTATTGGATGCTTGTATAAATAAGTAGCAATTGCATTTGCCTTCCTCATCCTCCCAATTTTCTTGCCTACCGCGTATGGTTTTTAGCTCTCATCTTTTAGACCCTTTTTTTCTTAAATCTTTTGTAGCATGCATGCTCATGTTAGGGTGCTCCATCTGTTAGAATTTCCTACACATTTAGCAATGGACCAGAACGAATAGTGACCCGCTTAAATATCCCACGTAAAAATTTGTATGAGAGAAGCATTTTTTGCCTACTTTGATGTTTAATAACGATACCCAATTTAACCCCAACAATAGAGTTTTATAAAGAAAATTGTTTGTGGTTTGTTTTTGAAACGGTAGGGAATCAAATTTGAGTGACTTGTTCAATGTTTTAAAAGGCAAAGGCGCAAGCAAGGTGATTTTGTTAGCCCCGCCTAGGCGAAGGCCTTGAAGCGTAAGTCGAAGCCTTACTGGATTTAAATAACTGGGGACTGCTATGGGTTATTTGGGAGACTATTGTAGGTTATTAAAAAAAATGACTTGGCCAAAACGACATGAAGAAGAAAACCTTTTTTTTTTTTTTTTTTTTAAACAAACGATAGTATCTACACTAAAGTGGTGGGGAAACTATCGTTTGTTCAAAAAAGCTTTCTTAGAAAGAAAAAAAAAACAATTCTCTTCTTCGTCGTGGTCGTCTTCTTCGTGAAATGTCGCCACACAGTAACAATTATAACCTAAAGGATAGAGCCCCTTGATATCGATTCAGATCACTGATGGATCTAGGAACACCCAATCAACCGCCTCAAGCACACCTTGACCACATCTAAGCAAGTTTTCGCCTACTCCCACTGGGTAGAGGTGTTATCGCTCCTGCTCCGTCTCCAAAGCCACCTAGGCGCACCTCGGGGTGTGTTTTTAAAAACATTGGACTTGTTGCATATAAAGAGTTAAGTAGTGTTCAAATGTCAGTAGTCACTCCTTACAGACAAATCAAAATTTGAGTGATTTATTATGTGTAAGGAACCAAACAATATTAAAAATAAAAACACACTCATTCCAGAAATACAAAAACAAAGAAAGTCAAAATAATAGTTTCCCACCCAAAAGCTACTTTACCATATTCTAAATTCAATGTTTTTAATAAACTCCCTGCTTAGTAGGTTACGAGTAAATCAAACCCCAAAAAGGGAAAAAAAATGGTAATGCAAAGATTTTGAATAAAAATTCAATTTAAGCTTACAAGACCAATTATTTCTTAAATTCATACATTTCCATGAGGTAGTTTGGGCCTCATAGAAATGCAAACGCAACACAATTCACCATTCGAGCCCCAAAAGCCTAATTCCAATAGAAGGATTAATTTTGCCAACCATACAGTATATAGATAATATGATTAGCAAAATGGAAATTCCGAAGAAAACAAAAATAAAACACCAGCACCTCGAGGATTTACAAAAGTTAGCAACAGAATTTCAACAACAATGGACTCAAAATATCAGGATCGTAAACAGTGACCCGGACTCCATCAAGGTTTCGTTCCGGCAGTGAATCATCTCCGCCATCAGTGCTGCCGCCAGAATGCCAAAATCAACTTTCAACCATTGGTTCGGGGTCAGAAGATGGTTCTGTGAGAGATGGCTGTAGGAGAGATCTGTTGGATTGGCGTACAGAATTGAAAAGAATGTCCTTGATAACCTGAGCAAAGATAAATAAGAGCAACGGTGTTAATTAAGGACAAATTGGACGTTGCTATAAGAATCCACTGCACTAGCAAACAGAGGATATATGAAGATTGGCACGGCCAGGGGTTACCTGTGACATCAAACCATGCACCTGCTCGACGGTTATCTTTGCACTGTCCCGAGTAATTTTGGCAAGTTGGGATTCTTCCTGCAAATTCATGAAGCCATTCAAATTCAACTACTGCCAATGTAGGTAATCAGCGTGAATGATGGTTAAATATTAACAAGATTCTTATTATGTAACATTCTTCTCTAAATCACAAATCTCTCCTGCACATGAATGAAATCACCCAGGCATGCATTCTAACATTACCTGGATCTAAAATGCCTATCTATATGGGGGCAAGTGGGACCCACATAGAAAGGATAGCAGAAGAAAAGCTGTGGGTACTATAATTCTAAACAGTTGAATTTGTTGAACAAAAACGTTTTTTTTTTTAACGAGCGGCAGGCAAACGAGTTGAATTTCCATATAGCATGATATCCAGTGGCTGCTAAATTTTAAAACAGAGGCCAATGTTCCAGAGAAGATTCAAAAGTGCTATATTTTTGTTTTCCTGGTTTCTTTTGGAAAAATAAATAAATACAAAAACTTAAAAACTGTTTCAAAGCTGAGAACAAGAATCAAGAATACAAGAAACAACACAAAGGCAAGTCCACATGATTCCTAGGCAAATAATTTGGTTCTTTATCCTTTTGTTTTTCTTCTTAATATCTACAGAACTAGGTATACATATATTTATCAGTTTGGTTTCATGAAAGAGAGAGAATAGAACTCAATGAAAGGGGAGAATGACACTATGTTCACACATCAATTTTGCATGTAAATCCACTCATAGACATATAGAATGATGAATTTTATAAATGTGTATTTTGCATAGACTAGATGAATATAAGGAGTGGCACTGGAATCCATATCACCTTCCTGCCCTAACCTTCTCTACGTGTATATATATATATACACACGTAGAGAAGGTTAGGGCAGGAAGGTGATATGGATTCCAGTGATATATATATATATATATATATATATGAGTAACAGATTCCACTTAGCAGTTATACTTGTATGGTCCAAATCCATTTAAAAGATAGCTCTTCTAAATCAAATGAGCGATATAGAGGGAAATGGGAAGAGAGACTTACCTCTCTCTTTCTTTGTGGGGGTGTTATTAATGGCCCAAAGCGAGAATGAGCCAAATGATTCTCCGCTTGCTCTAGCTTTTCAGCTGGCATGATTCAAAGAACACAACTTAATATTCAGTAAATAATCTAACAATACGGAAAATATTTGAATAGGTAGTATGCACAGGTAAGAAAGTACCTAGATCAGAAATTTGTCCAGCAACATAGTCACCATTACCCAATAAAGGTGAGGAAGAAAGAGTATTCACCCAATACTTGTTCCAGAGCAGATCCAAGAGGTGAGTGTCAAGAGAAGACTTGAAATAAGTGATATCCAGAGAATAATACTGCATACACAAATACAAAAGAAGTTTCAGATAATAACAAACCAAAGTTCCGCAAAAGAATTCTAGGATAATAACATCATACCTGTTTACAGTGAACACCAAAGTCCTCAATTTTGTTCAGAGGAATGGTCTGATACTCGGAGACAGGATCGTCTGGAGGCTTATATCCATCTGGGTACGTCCTGAATGCACCAATGTCAACTTTTCCAGCAGACACAGTCCGAGTTGGATCAATAACAACAGCCAAAAAGGGCTCCTGATATTGCTGGTTAAGCATCTGCGTCGAAACATCAATACCCGAAAGCCAGCATCCATAACCCGGATGAGAATGGTACCACCCAACCACATTCTCCAACCGCCCCGCCTAGGCAATAAAACAGTCAGTAAGCAGATTACCTTGCACAAATAGAACTAATACATGGACTCCAATACAAGAATCCTATTCCACAAATTAACAATAACGAAATTTGAGAAACTATATGACTTAACACAAAACCCACTAAGAAACCTAGCAAATTCAATTTCTCAGCAACTATGTAAGAAAAGAGCAGCAACTCGATGACGCAATAGCCCAACAACAACAGCAATTAGGGTTTATGAAAGCCCAAAAGTTCATGCCTTAAACATTGAAAAACACAAATAATTTGAAAAAAAAATCTATAAAATCACATACCTGCTTATTGGTTTGGGAATATTCCACCATATACTCATAGGCATCAGCCTGAGCATTAACCCTAGTCTCAGTCCCTTCAACAGGCAAAGCAAAAGCGTCCATGACGATAATGGCGTCGCCGTCGGTCTTGCCCTGCATGAGGCCCATAACCTCGATGGTCCCGCCGGACCGGGCGTGCACAACCATCTTCAAGAGCGCGAGGGCGGAGATCTTGACGCGCTTGAAGTAGTGGGGGTCGCTGGCCCAGGGCTTCTCCTGCTGGAACTTGGCCTGAGCCGCCTCGTCGTAGTAGAATATGGCGTCGGCCGTCGGGTCCGCCTTCGGCTTCGCCACGCTCGGCGGCGTGTCCATGGGGATTATGTTGTTCTCGAGCTCCCATGTCTGCTGGGCTATTTGCGCGTCCATGGTGTTTGCGAAAATGTCTCTGAGAGACACTACAGCGTCCTTTGATGTTAATATACGACTCTGACCGTGCGAGTAATTAAGCGAAGTCGATTTCTACTAAGAAAATAAATAAATCGCCATTGGGCTGCCTTTTGTGTTTTTAGGGCTCCTTCGGAGAAGAGAAAGCCCAAGGAGCAAAAAATAGTTTTTTTTTTTTTTTTTTTTTTTTTTTAAGATCGATATTATATTTTAAACTAGGGTGCAACTTGGCCGGGTTGGTCAGATTAGATGGTCAACCAATCCTAACCCAACATTCGGGTGTGGGTGGGGTTCAGGTTCATGTAGGTTTATTCGAGTTCGAGTTTAAATTGGGTTGGAGCTTACTTAGATTGGGTTTGGATTTGCCCAACTTTATCGACTTCAATCTTACAACACCTTATTTTATAAAATGTTTCAAATTTTCATTAAACAACATCAATATATATTAGATCCTGGCAATATCAGCCACTATAAAATTGCCTACAAGGAGGAACAAAATCATTACAATTAGCGAGCCATGCAAATGCAAGGATCACTCAACATGAGAAAATTTGGAGAGCTGTTACAACACATCGTGCAAACTCAAACAGGCGGTTTTCACAATTCCAATCAATTAGAAACATTCTCTACAACTTTTTAAGTCTAGCTAAACGTGGACAACGACCCGTGGCGTAAATACCTGACAGTAATTCCTACCCTGTTCCTCTTGACATGGAACCCGAACAAAACGAAACACATTTGCCAAATTACATTAGTGTACAATAAATTACACTGTAAGGTACAGAAACCACAATTCTGTGTCATTTGCCCCGCGACCTGCCTCTCCTGTTGGATCTAGTTGGTCTCTTTCCCTTCTGCTTCTCCACAACAATGTCAGTCTTGGCTACCGGGCTTGGCTGGGTCAGCTCCTGTGATAACTCATTGGGCATACTAGAGCTGTTTTGGGAGCCACTGGCAACGAAATCTTTGTCCTTCGTGACATCAATATAATTTTCAATCAGTTCGTGGACCTCAAAAGTAGCTTCATTCAAATGTGCACCATCGTTTTCCTTTGTGGCACCAATATCGTTTCCGTTTTTGTTGGTGACCTCGCCAGTAGGTTCATTCAAAAACTCACGGTTATCATTTAAAGTGAGATCTGCAGCTGCAATCTCATGACTCGAGCTGACTGGATTACTTTCCCCATTGAGCACGGCGTTTTCTTCTGTGCCCAACTGTGCAGACAAACTGAAACGAAGAAAGGCAATGCAATAAGATTATGCAGATAATGCAGCGCCAAAACAATGACCTCAACAACCGCTTACTCAGCTACTGAAGAACGGAAACCATTTGTGGTATAAGCACTTCTTGATGCAGTCGCTTCTGTTGTCAAGCACGTTACATCGTCTAATTTTGAATCTGAAACTGAAAAGTAAATAGAATATATATAAATACGAACGCCTGATGCACAACCAAAATGCCTAGTCAAATGTCAACTGCTATCCAACAACTGAACTTCAAAGATTTATGAATGGCATCTTTCAGACTCGATAAATTATTTAGTACAAAATAGAACTGCGTCATCCAAGCTACATACATAGTGTTCTATCCCAATAAAACAATGATATAACTGGAATTGTATTACTTGCTGACACAATATGGTGAGAGTATTATGCATGACACGACAAGTAAAATAGTTTTGGTGATGGGCTGATAGCACGTATAATTCCATTGGAAACGAAGACCAAGTGAGATGAACTTGTCCTCCCACAGTATCTAATTTTTTGAGTAAGTCTACCTGGATAAAGTGTTGACATTCAGAGTTTAAAGCACATATACTTAACAATGATATACTACCGACCAGTATAGACACGGTTCACACTAGTTATTCAGCCAGACAAACAAAATTCCTTTGCTACATATACATATTAGTACAATACATTTGAATGCCGAATGGCCAGCACAATATCAAACATATAACCTGTACGATAACAACACAAATGTGTATGCTGATATAACCCACACAACAACAGGGTCGAAAAAGTTCACCTTGTATGGTTGAATTTTGTTGTTCAGACCCATTAGTGTCCTTATGTCCATCAAAATCATCAGCACCAGCATCACTGTGACGTACAAGGGGAATTGAATGTGATAAACCAAACAAATATCGAGGGTACAAAATGGAAAAATAAAGGAGGAGGAGGGGAAGAAGGGGGAGGAGAGGGGGAGGGGGGGAAGGTGAAGGAAAGATCAAAATCACCGACCCAAACTGTACAGAATGGGAGTTAGGCGCAGCTTGGCCCTTGTATCAGACATGCTCAACAATAGTAGTCTCTAAGTTACTACAAGAATATGAGGATGCTAGGAAGATGAAATATCAACTATTTCTTGTAATTTTTAAGTTTTTATTTAGAACTGCTCCTCAAACACAGGAGCCATGGTATTCGGAGACAAAGAGTAGATGTTGCCTGACAAGTATTGCCGTGTCTTATCATGCTGAGGTCAGATGACACCCTTAAGTAAACTACAAGTTGACATGCATAAACAACAATTTTAGGCTAACCACAAGCTGATATTTGAAGAATCATAAGCTTGCTTTCAAATGGTACCCGTAATCTAATAACGATTTTTGGGTATGCATTGAATAATTTTTTAAGAAGCTATAAGAATTAGTTGACAGAAGTTTTCTTGGCTAAATAAGAAACAATTCCGTGAAGGAGCAAACCTGGGAGCAGTCTTGATATCTTCAGATGCCTCGAGTCGTTGTCCAGAGCTTAACATCTCTTCTAAGGCATTCTGAGAACCTATTTGATGGACAAACTTAGTGAGTAAAAGATGAATTAAAGGTATAGTATACTCATACATATGCATTAATATGAATGTCCAAAGGAAGAAGATAAAAGTGAAAATTACAAGAAGCATCACCCTTGCCACCCATAGAAGCGGCATCTGAATCCTTCACAAAAAGAAAAGAAAAGGTTATAACAAGACATCTGGTAGCACAATCTTTATCAGACTTAAAGAAAAAATAAATAAACCATATGTTAGTAGTCAAGTTGCAACAAAATGATACATATGCATAAACAGTTGTGATTTTCTTCAGAACTGATAATTACCGGAAGTGGCAAATCTCTCTGCAATCCATATTGTGTCTTCTCCGAAACTGAGAAAGCAGAAGATGGGTTATTTCCTATAATTTATTTTCCTTAACTCTAAAAATTTATAGGGAAGTGTTACTGGCATTCCAAAGCAATCATCTTACACTACTCTTTCATTCATTTTTCTATAAACTCATTTTCGTTGAAGTGTTTTTGGAAATTGTTGAATTAAGAAACTTTTTAATTGGTTGACTGAAAAGAAAGAGAATCCCTAGTGTCTTCCCCAAAACTATACGAGCAGAAGATAAGGTCCCACATGTTAGTTTTATTATATTTAATTTCCTTATATTCTAGAAGTTCAAGGCAAGTGTTATTGGAACTCCAAAATAGTCATTTTGCACCACTGTTCTACGATTATTCTTCTTTCATTAATATCATCTTCATAGTAGTGTTAATGGAAATTGTATCAATAAATTCTGAGATTAAAATAATTAAAGAAAATATATACGAGGAGCGTATGAAGACTCTTTTGGAAAGCCAACAAAATCTCCCTTAAACTATGAAATTATGCAATTTATTCATCTACTAATGACAATGGATTATTGGACTAAACCAACAGATTTACTGCATTCCAGTCAAGAAAAGATACCGTTGGAGCCATTGGACGTAGTTATTCCTAAGGACAAGTTCAAATTCGAACCTATGGCATTTTTAGAATTGTGAAGTTTATCTCCCACATCATCTTCTCGTTGGCCACCCGGAAAAGAACCCAAGACACTTCTCTTTTCTAAAGCAGATGTGGACCAATCAATTCTTGTAGAAGGTAGGGACCTCAGCAGTTCTTCTGATGCCTTAGATCGCACTCTTCGTATTTCCTCCTGAATATTCCAGGACCCAGTAGCAGGGGCATCCCTTTTCAGCTGCATTAAATTTTCAGATAGCACAATCAGCATATCAATAACGACATACATTCCCTAATTTCTGTTTCACTAACTAAAACACAGAACACAGAAAGAAAGAAAGAAAGAAAGAAAGAGAGAAAGAAACATGTGAGGTTCAACATCAACATCCAATGTCTTATTTTTTAAGTTGCATTTTCAATTAATAAATGGTCACTACACATTTATATGAGAAAAAATTTCTGTCATGCTTCATGTTCCCAGATGCGAGTGACAACGCCATCATCGGACCCAATAAATTGTCTTGACACCTCGATAAGTTCTCTGTGGATTCACTCTACTAGGTTAATGTTTTGGCTTGTCTGCCTAAATATTAAATCACTAACTTTTCAAGGTTTTCTCTGCATTTTACAACTTTACAACCTATCCTTGCTTACAAAACAAGCTATTCTTACTTGACCCAGCATACACAACACAACCTGACATTTTTTTAGTCACTGCAAATCGACAGACTCCGAAAAATCTGCAACTCTGCCTTGCTTTGCGTAACACAGTTGCACATAATACAATAACCAGAACTCCCCTAACCCACATATCTTTCTGATTCAGAAAAAGTCATCATCCATTTAAACAACAAACACCCAATCTTAAACTGAGTTGCTAGTCTTTGTTCACTTTGAAAGTCGATCTCCAGCCTCAAGCTTTGTCACATACATTTATCATTAACCAAGACCTGGCATCTATATAGACTGGAGTAGTAAATAACCTCCCGTTAGCAATACTGTTTGAGTTTAAAATCTACATCCTACCTGTCAGAAACCCAAAAGCGAAAAAGAAATGACAAGAAAACTTCCAAATGGTACCTTGGATGTAGACACAGAATTGCCACCAGTTGAATATGGGGTTTCTTCGTTGAACAGTTGCATCCCTATTGATGACGGAGATCTCAGTTCTCCATGCTTAATAGAAGGAGATGCCCAGGGAGGACGTGCCCGCATATACACTTTGGCCACATCCACCGGTGAACCACCTTCGTCTTCACCACCCTGCCCCAACAGGATCAAATTGAAAATGTGATACATCAGACTTTGGTATCTCAACAAATTGCTAATATAAACTCAAGGAGAAGCTAATAGCATATATCTTCGATGTAGTTTTCTTTCATCAAAATATTGAAAAGCTTACAATTGCTTATTTGACATAAAAAGACAACTTATAGAAGATTTCACCCCAAAGATAAAATGCCAGACATGGGGAAAGAGACAGCACATGATAGCCATGATATAATACCAGAGGAAAGAGCACTAACTTGTGGGAACATAAGAGCGCTCAAGGTGTGGGTTCCATGATCCAAAACTGGCTTTGAAGTTGATCCCAATCTCTTCTCACTCAACCATTTTTTTGCCTCCATAACAGGACTCTCTACATCTGCAATGCAATTAATACCAAAATTAAAAAGTAATTGGTAAAATTTCTAAACCTGTTTCACTGGAAACTGTTAGGTGTCTCACCTGGTCTTGTATTCTCTGCACCTTCAGCATTGGTAAAACCTACAACTCTCGATTTAATAATCTTTATTAATCTATCACATTCTTCCCTGGTCAAAAACAAAGTTGAAGTCAAATAACTAGTTAATAGGAATGAAGAATAATTAGCAGAAAGGTTGCATGATACACAACAGTTTGTGGAAACCTCTCTATAACACAACAGATTTCAGACCAATACAGTATAGAACCCATAAAACATTATGTTCATGGTAGAGTGCTTATAAATTGAGGACAAGGCCAATGAATCAAGGCATATCCTAGCCTGGAAGTGTGAAGAACCATCTTTTACTTTGATAGAAGAACCAAGCCTAAGCACTAAACCTTAAGAAAATATTTCTAGAAATCAAGGTTCAATAACACGAGATTCTCGAAGTAGAATAAGAATTTACAGACCTCAATGCAGAAAATAAATTAGGTTGATATAAATACACAAACAAATGACAAGCAAACATTACAAGTCTAATATAAGTAGAAGAAGGATGAAACGAGCAACAACCAAGGGAAATCCAAATGTGAAATATAAAATTATAATGATTCATCTTTAATCAAGAAAGTGCAGCATTACCTCGAGAAGGTCTCCTGCATAAGTAGTTGTTCAATTACATGCTTGTTGTTGCTCTTCCCTAGTGTTGCTGGGGGCTCCTTCTCAAGGAACTTGATCTCTTCTGATGTCCCATTCCTCTAATTCAACAACAAAAATCAACATTGCATGTCTAATACAAGAAAATGAAACTGTAGAAGCTAAGAAAAACTGAAAAAGTGGTTTAACTACACGTATTGTGTTACTGTTCATAGTCCCTGGACAGCCCTGAAATTTATACCTCACAAAATTCTTGGTAGCCCCACATCATATCCTTTTCTTACTCAACTAAATCGCTTACCACAAGCTTTTTCCACAACTTTAGTTCCCAAATAACCCATTGAAACCATCCTTAAAGATCACCTTCAGTGCTGTAAAATATTCACAGCCTCCCTTTTGTTCCTTATCATCCCCATGAGTATAAAAACTTCAAACTAGTTTTCTACAACCTAAGTAAGGATATGACTACAACCTCTTGTAGAGCCCCATACACGAGCCTAAATTTGTACGTTCATCAATGGGAAATTGGGCATGAGTCAAATGACCTAACTGTTTGAAACATCTAGCATAAGTTCTTTCAAATGCTCAAAAAATTGCCCAATTGTAAGCATACCAATGCATGCAGAACAACAGAACAATACAACATGTAGAACTATTACCTTATTCAATCCATCATCTTCCTGGGTCGAAATATCTTCATTATCATCATCAGCCTCATCGTCAGTCCCATCCTCTGAAAAATTAGACAAGAAATCCAGTAAAAGGCCACGAAAACCAAAGGGCAGCATTCTTTTTTCTTCACTAAAGCACAAAACTGCCATACTCTTTAATACATCAGACAAACTGAAATCCACCACTGCTATGTACAGATATAACAAGATTAAGAAGGGAAAAAAAAAGCGTAAATTGTAGCAATGGTCCCTTAACTTGAACTCAATTGGAGCAATGGTTCCTCAACTAAAAATTCATTACCATTGGTCCCTCAACTCATCAAAATGTGCAGCTATGATCCCTCAACTTAAAATCTATTTACCATTGGTCCCTCAACTTTAATCCAACTGGAAAAATGGTCCCTCAACTTTAACCTAATTGGAGCAATGGTCCTTCAACCTTAACTCAATTGTATCAATGATTCTTCCAACATAACTCATTTTGACAAAATTCCAACGAAGTTGACAAAAATGACTATAGCTACAGATTTTGATGAGTTGAGGGACCCTTCCAACATAACTCATTTTGACAAAATTCTAACAAAGTTGACGAAAATGACCATAGCTACACATTTTGATAGTTGAGGAACCAATGGTAATGGATTTTAGTTGAGGGATCATTGCTCCAATTTGATTAAAGTTGAAGCACCATTGCTATAATTTACTCGGAAAAAAATGCCATCTTTAAAATAATTTATTTTCCAAAAAAATTACGTTTACTCCTAAATTCCAAGCATCTAGCACACAATTAGAACAGTAACTCAAATTTTCTTAGCACCAAAACCTAATCGACCTACACATTCAACCTATCAAAACTAATTTCCGGATCGGAACTAAGTACAGTATCGATTTCCGGCATTTCAACTACGAAATTACCAAAACATACACAAATTGAGCTTCATATAATCACTGTAAACACATACAAATGCAAAATTAGATTACCTGAGGAGGAAGAAGAGGAGGAGGAAGAGTCAGGACCAAAGACGGAGGAAATAATCTTCCCGGCGCCGCTGGCAATCTTACGAGTAGGCGAGTAGATGAGCCGGGAGAACCAATTAGGGTTTTCGGGTGGTGCGGGATTGACAAACCTAGGCCGGTCGTAGGGAGTCCTAGCACCGGCGTACCGTCGAGGGCGGACAATTTTGCCGCCGGATCGGGAGTCTAGTGCTCGGCGAGATCTGGAAGTGGCGGCAGTGGCCATGGCCGCTCTCTCATGTGAAGGAGGGAGCCAAATAGGGAGGGAATGAGAAATAGACAGAAGAAGTCCGTTGTGGAGGTTAAAAAGGGGGTTGGGGGTTTGTTTGTGTGTTTTTCGCAGTCTGTCTCATCAGAACATTCTATTGTTGAGGTTTGTAATGTGACGGTTATAACTATTTTGTTTTTTTGTTGACTATTTTATTTGGATTTTCAGTTCTAAACAAGTCATTGTTGATGTACTTTACTAATCGGAACCATTCAGTATTATATATATATACATACATATATATATATACACACACATCTATTGACGGAGTCAGAATTTTATAACAACGAGATTATAATTTGAGCCAAGGGAACATCATCGGATCATTTCGTCTAGCTTCTGATGAGTATCTGCCTAGTTATGCTGCATTTGTCCATTTTATGGAGGACTATCATGTGAGCTTTTTATCAAACATAAGAAATAAAAGAAGAAAGACAAAGGAAAGAAAGATAAAAATTCTACAAATAACTATACATGGGGTTGCACAAAAGAAACAGTGGTTTGTAATTCAGTGTTTTTGACTTATTTTTTCAATTTGTCGCAATCATGTATAGTGTCATACACAAATATACAAGTAAATATATATTAAAATTATGAAGCTATTAGGGTCATGAGCAGCCAATGATCTCATGTTGGCTCCGCCACTGCACATACTAGCTTTTTGTCACACATCTATGCAGGGCAATTGGCTTTTTTTATTCTTTTAATTTTTTTTATTTTAGATATTTTTTGTTAAAATATATTTTGAAAAATAATGAATTTACTAGTCATAAATGTTTCGAGGGTACTCGGCTAAAAAAAAAAAATAAAAAAATAAAAAAAAAAGAGAAATTGGTGAAGGTGAAGAATTCGACTTTGACTTTTAGAATCATACCTTTGTTGGAGAGCGAGGCAAACGGTACGAGCAGTCTGGAAACGGGCAGTGGCCGAGGGGGCCATTGATCCACGAAATAACAAGTTGATCCTTGTGAACCCGGTCAGATACTGGGGATTGGCTTTGGTAGTGACCTTGCCATTGTGGTCGCTGAGAAACTCCGATGGACGCTTGGATGAGCCATTAACAAGGGGGAGTAATTGACGACTCATGAGAACGGGAAGAATTTAAGCCAGCCATAAGGGATAGTTTGAGTAGTCAAGTTTGATGCTGATGGAGTGAGAGACGGATGGAAAGGCATCAAAAGTAGCAGCAGCCGTGGTGGTGGCGGCCATTGGGAAGCTTGTGACGGAGAAGGAGGATCGGGAAAAAAAAAATGGCAATGAGTCAAAGTCTCTGATACCATAAAAGATTAGTCAATAATTGAACGCAAAGTTAAAGAAGAGAGACAGTTCAATGGCTAACCTCGATTATTTTGAGGACTCTATTCATCTCCAATATATAAGGTACATTGCTCGATTTACAAGAATACAGAAAATGCGCAAACATTACAATTAAGGGAAATAGAATACCGGAGATATTCCTACAAGTAAAGAGATTGACAAAACAAGTCAGAATCTATATGTGCAGGAAATCAGTGATTACTTCTATCACCTCTTCTCCTCAGTCCACAGAGACAAAATGTAGGAATTAGACGGTCTTCTTGAGCATGTTTTTTATTTGGTAGGTAACATCGATGAAGCTACTGTAAAAGCTACGACCTTAGGAAGACTCAAGAATAAATTTAGGGGTGTGCTATCCACACACCTCATTTTATTTCTCACACACCCTTTGATAATTTATGTCCGTTGATCTTCTTCAATTCATCTAATCCGACGGTCGAAAATTAAAAAGGTGTGTGACAAGTAAAATGGGGTTTGTGGATATCACATCCCTAAATTTAACTGGAGGCCCCGTTGTATATTTAGACCTAATCATTAGTCGCCACTCGAAGCACAGTGGGGAGAAGGAAAAAGATTGGGGAAGGAAGGTGTCTCAGCAAACAAAAAAAAATTGAGAAAAATTGAAGAAAAAAAAAAAACTGAACTAGAAAACAGAAGAATAAGGGTCACATGAGGTAGCGGGGGTGGCGAAAGGGGAGAGAGAGGCAGAAGTAGAGGGGTGACGGGAAGGCGGAGGGAGAGAGGGAGGGTGGGGAAGAATCTGAGAGATAGTGAGGTGGGAGGAAACATAAATGTATCGTTTGGTATGTGGGACGGGACGGAACAGAGTGGGACATGCGTTCCATCCCACGTTTGGTGCGCCTAAAACCGGTGGAACGAGTTGTTCCACGGGACAAGTTTTGGGTGAATTTTAGTTCGACCTCATTCCCCTGGAACGACTCGTTCCACATCCGTGGAATACAAAATTATAACCTCTCCGTCTCGTTCTTCTTCCTCCTTGTTTCCATCCAAGGGCATCTTTGCTCCCGCTCCGTTCCGTTCCGTCCTGTCCCGTCCCATCCTGTCCCATTCCGTTCCGTCCCGTCCCGTCCCGTCTGCATACCAAACGATACCAAAAGGACGGAGGGAGAGAAGGAAGAAAGAAGTAAAGAGACGCCACTGTGGGAAATATACTGAAGGGAGGCGGGGAGGTCTGCCACTTAACTAAATTCATCTTAATTATAGCGGTTGAAATTCGAACTTCAGTGTAGAAGAGAAGCACATTAGTCTAGCACTTAAGTAAGCCCAAATATTGTAACACTTTGATGGTTTTCATAGTTCCTTTTATTAATGTTAGGGTAGATGAACTTTTAGACTAAATTTGTAAATAATGTGATGTATTACTAATAAAAAATAAGCACGTTAATCAACATTTAAATACTAATTTAATCATTAATAATCACCTTATATATTTACAAAATATGATTTAAATAGATGGTCGTCATAGCATTACCTTAATTTTTATTTTTGGGCAATTAAATCCACTCCAAAAATCCAAGCTGTTTCTTAAATTGAGTCCAACTGTAACATTTCTATATCCTAACTACAAAAAATTTCACGCAAAACATATTTAAGACAAACTTGAATACAACTAAATCTGAAGAGGTAGATTACAAGCAAAACATATCTATAATATAGGTAGCTGAAAATGATTTATTTTTTATATAGGTAGATTATTCAACAAGTGTGAAAAAAAAATTGAATGCAACATTGTTGAACGGATTTACTTATTATAATTTAAGATTCTATGATTCTATAAAATTTTCAATTCTATCACAAAATAATAATTTACAAAACTGAATTTATATTGAAGTTACCTTTTTATATTGGTCTCGGATAAGTTTTAAAAAGGTAACATTTTTTTATCAACAAGTGTGAAAAATTAGGCTTTTTAATCAAAATGGTTCCTAAAATTAGCAAAATTATTCATTTTTATTTCTGAGATTTGAAATTGATAAAAATTATCCTGAATTGTCCACCATCAATTATTTTAGTTTTTATGTAGAAAATCTTCATTAAATAAGGATAAAATGACGAAAATACATCAAATTTTGTCAAATATTTTTCACCTATTGTTTATTAAATTGAAGGTATTTTTATCATTCTGATCTTTATTTAATAGAATTTTTCACGAAATAATCAAAATAATTGATGTTGGCCAAACTTAGATATAATCTCAAAAATTATTTTAGCTAAAAAAATCGAAAAAATAAAAATTACACGAGTCATCCTTCATTCAAATTACGATTTTGCCTAACGATTCGCTCCTCCCTGGATCCCTTCCGTTTCGCTGTCTTCTCCTTCTGTCTCCCGTCCGTTTCTCTCTCCCTCTCTCTCTACATCCATTCGCATTGGCATTGGCATTTGTCTTCCCCCCTGTCTCTCTCTCTCTCTCTCTGAATTTTGGGTTTTGGATTCTCTAGCTTTCTGGGAAAATTTATCTTTCCCCATGAAACACAATGAATCCACAAAATACCCAATCTACCCCGCCTCCAATTCTCCATTAATCCCTACTCCCAACAATTTCAATTCCCGATCAATCTAAAATCTCCTCTGCCATTCGGCTCAGAGATGACACGGGATGCTTTGCTTCTATCGCCACCGCTAACTCGGCCTCCGCCTCGCGAGAGGCGCAGGGTAGGCGAGGTGGCCGGCGGCGCTGCGGCGGAGTGCGCGGCGGTGTGCTGCTGCTGCCCGTTCAGCGTGATGAATTTACTGATATTGACGGTGTACAAAGTCCCGAAAGGTATTTGCAGGAGGGCCTTGGCCCACAGGAGGAACAAGCGGCGGTGCTTGGCGGCCCAGAAGAAGGCGCTGTTGCAGCCCAGGCCCAATGGGCTCGCCGGCGGCGGGCTTTATAGCGACGACGACGAATTCTTTAGGAGAGCGAGCAGCTACAGCGACGGCGACGTAGATGACCGAAGGGGTAGCGAGGATGAATCGGAGGGCGCTGATTTGTTGGAGAAGGAGATGTGGGACCGATTCGATGGTGCCGGCTTTTGGAGGAGTGCTTCTCGGAGAGATTTGTGATGATCAATGTCGTGGTTTTGGGACTCGCATGTCGTTTTCATTTGAATTCGAATTTGGGTGAGGACGGTTGGGCAAATTGGTCATTCGATGATTTGTAAATGTGAAAATTTTGAGATTAATGAAGAATTTTAAAACAAAAGTGAATATAAATTCGGGCATCATTTGATTTAAACAAGGCTCAATTGCCTTTATTCCACTTAAAATTTAAATGGATATTTACTTTAGCAGAAATGAATACTGCAGAAGCCCAAATGATTCAAAAGTACTTTCCATGTGGCATTATGGGTGGCAAACCTCTTTCACATTGTACATTTAACTCAATTTCTATACAGAAAAATCAACTTTCGAATGGCATTTTGGTAGTTTTGAGGAGGATAAAAGCTCAAATTGTGATGTAAATCCTTATCCTCTGTCAACAGTCACATTAACAAATTGGGAGCAGAGAGAATTATTTCGAGAAGAAAAGGCTTAATTGGGAAGGAAAGTCAAATCTATATAAGACAATAAAAAGGAATAAGAAAATAACACTCAACTCATAACACAAAAAGATTTTAATGCTCAGCAGGCTACCTTCTTTCAAATTCCCTATGTAATCTACCTTTTTGTACTTGTATTTATGTTTAAAGCTCTGCTGCAT